CTTTCTTGACTGCAATTCTTTGAATATCTTGCTTGATAACGACTCCGAATAATCTTCCGATTTTGACAAAGCAGATAGAACATTGGTTTTCTGACCTCATGGTCTTAGTAACTCAAAATGGCCAAAAAATGTCAGATAGAACTTTGTAATTTTGAGGTAGCGTAGTACGTCCTTCACTCTTTGTGGGGCGGTATGAGCAAAGGACACATAATTTGTCTTTTTCGAGGATGGAGTTTGGGGGGGGGGGTGGATTGCCAAACTTAGTTTTAAGCGGTATATGTATTCTTATGCTCCTGGTGCTCTTCAACAGTTGTCGTCTATTCTATGTATGCTTATCTCGTATATCTGTCATTCTTAGGTCCGTGCATTTATGTATATCTCGACTGACTGGATAAATCAACAGATTCAAACGAAAGCAAACAGACACACTAGAGCACACAAATTAGAACGGTCATTCTCTGCTTTCTCTCTTTCTTCCCCCATCCCTTTTCCCACAGCAGGGCGGCTGAGTCCCAAAAGCAGTGGGCATTCATAATGCATGAATTACAAAGTGCTATAGAAATGATCACTCAGTTGGAAATCCAGTGCGGAAAAGCTGACCCATGGATTATTCAAAAGGCTTCACCGACACAATTCGAAAGCCAAAATTGCTTCTTTACGTTACAATTGTTAACAACTATTCGAGCTGAATGGTTGTAATCGGTGTCTGCAGAATATGCAAAGTATCTTAAAATGTTATTTATCAATAGCTGTTTACAACAGAAAATATTCTGGAAACGAAGATTTCTGTTTTGTGCCTGGTGCGCATTAAGTCTTCAACGTTGTTTGATATTACGGTTGTAGCTTTCTATTGGTTTGTTCTTAACGTAATATTCCAATGTTTTGTTGAGAAGTTTTCAAACAATTTTGGTGTTTTGCAGTTCATCTTTTGCTTGATTTTCCCCGGCATTTTGTTACTATTTGTTTTGTTTTTGAGTACTCCACACTATGCTTTTGTAGAGACAATTATTTTCGCTGTTTCCTTGAGTTTGACACAATGCCGTGCCCCGACCCCCTGTCCCTCCTTTTTATCATTTTGAAACGTAATAAATTAGAAAGGATGACAACCCAAGTGGGCGACTATAAGGATTGAAAGGCTGGTAGTTGATGACATGCATTTTGCGTCGAGGTATTCCCTTCTTGTTTTCGTTCCTTTTCTTATACATGAGCTCATTAAGAACATCTAGGTCATCTACTGCAACCGTGTGGGTGGTTGGAGGACGCTATCGGTAGGTCCTATTTCTTCACTTCCCCTCTCTTGTTTCCTCTGTCTGTCTTACTCTTTTGCCAGAAGTAAATGACCATTGATTAACGTGTGTCGATATGCTTCTCTTATCTCAAACAAACAAACAAACAAACAAACAAACAAACAAACAAACAAACAAACAAACACTACAGCCGTTCTCATCTCCAAAAGTCCCAACCTTGTCTTGTCATATCTTTGTACAAGTGGTCTCGGACAAGAGATGTTAGGTAATTGTGCACAACTTTTCTTCACTTATACCTCTTCACTGCTGTGTAGACTTATGCACTTGCTTGCCTTCTCCAAAATTAGTCCACTGCCATTTTTTTTGCACTGACCCGTAGAAGAAGCTTCAGGAGATGGATGTAATTAAAGCCTGCGTACTTGGTTATTCTTAAATAAACGAAAGTGTATTAAGGCTTTGTTTACATCTTGAATGAACACGTCATCTTTTCTGTACAGACGTGCATGGATACGTCTAAGCAATGAATTGATTATACAAAGTCATTAAAACTGGCGGCAGCACAAAGGAAGACATTATGAACAGACTCGGCAAGGCAAGATCTGTACACAGAAGCATGATCAACATCTGGAAGTCAGGACAGTTCAGTATACAATCCAAGTTAAAGCTGTATAACAGCTGTATACTATCCACACTCCTAAATGGATCTGAATGCTGGAGGATGGCTGATCGTGATCGTGCCAAGCTATCTTCTTTTCATACAACCATCTTACGTCAAATCCTCCGAATCTACCGGCCCGACAAGATTTCCAACGCAGATCTTTTACGGAAATGTAGACAAGATCCTGACCACCATAATAACCAGGAGAAGGTGGAGATGGATTGGGCATGTTCTAAGAAGATAACCAGACTCTATTGTAAAGACTGCCCTCCACTAGACACCCGAAGGACATCGGAAGAGGGACAGACCCAAAGTGACCTGGAAACGCTCAGTAGAGTCTGAAATGAAGTCCTAGAACCATTCGGGGGGTAGGGGGGGACGTTGACCAAGATGGCCCCAAACAGACCGAGCTGGAGATCCTTTGTTTCTGCCCTAAACAAAGTCATTGCACATGTAATCAGTCTTGCCAAAAAGAACCGATCTCCAACTGCAGCCACCATTCCCTGTCCGCATTGTGACAGACCTTCCAGTGAACAAACCTATCTGACTATAGTCATTTGCGCACTAACCGCTGACCCCAGGATCATTAGGTGGTCTACGGCGGCTCGACGGACCAACAGCAGCACAACATTAAAGCCATCCAATTCCCAGAAGGTTAGGCGCATCGATTACAATCAGCGCCGTTCTCATTATCCCCACACAAAAATTTCTTCCACTTGGCTATAAATAGAATTTCCAGCGACTGCCGAGGTCATCAGTCCTGACCAATCAAAAGAATGGTTTCTGGATTCCCAGGATACATACAAAGTTCAATCGCTCGTTATTTTATAGAAACTCCATTCCTAGCTCGTTAACATCCCTCAGGCTACCATAATAACACCCCCCCCCCTTACTTCCAAACCCGGAGAGCAAAACGATCCCATAGGTTGACGTCGTAAATATTTCACGGGTACTCGGTGCCGACTGTCGGCGAAAAGTACGAAGTGTTCCTCCTGACCAGAGATCTAAACATTCGTCGCACAACGGGTAGCCGAATAGTCATCAAAGAGTGCATCTTCACGCTCACCATAAATTTCAGAAACACCCGCCAAGCCTTCGGGAAGGAGAATGCGGTGCCGGCTCAAAAGCAGCAAGCGCAGGTATGTAAACTCAGTCGAGCTTTCAATTTAAGCACCACGCATCCAGTAAATAGAAGGAGCAATAACATCAAATGTTTACATGTTGACAGCATGGAGCAAACTCAATTTCCATAATATATAATTTTATGGGTGGAGTTTGAGGTAAGTTTTTTTGAAGTACCATACCCAGTAGCTCAACAACCAGTCAACTAGGAGTGGACAGCATAATAATACAGTTCATCGAGTCGAGTAGACTTGTCGATATACTATCATAATTTCCAGAAATTAGTTTTCCACGAGCAATTTGAGTTATTTTTCGTGATGACGTTTTCTTCCATTTTTGTTATTATGAATTATTACTTGTCTTACAGTTATTGTTATCGATTTAGTCATCATCATCATCATCATCATCATTGTTGGAAAAAGAGCAAGAGGAAATAGTGAGAGTCTTGATTGATTTTCAGTTAGACAATATAAATAAATTTAAAAGAAAATTGTTTATCGGAAAGGTCAACGCTTCGCCTGGAAGGCGTCTTTGTCAGTATTAACAGCTGCTGAGCATTTTCATTTCGTTTTGGGGTTTTTTGCGTTTCTTTTCGTGCTATTTTGACTCCGCCTAAGAGCACGTTTGTGTTTTCGAATACAAGTCAGTTAACCTATGGACTGTTTTCAAGTTTCCCGACATGTTTTGCCCAGAGATTGATAAAAATTAGTTCTCAGCCTTTGAAATGACTTGAGACGTCACATCTAATTACTCAGATTTAACTTACAACCACTACTTCTTACAATAAGGTTTCAGAGGTAAAATTAGCGAGAAAATGGCTGCCAACGTTTGTTAATTCCCATAGCTTGAGAGTCCTTGGAAACAGAAAATTTACATTATTTGTGCCTTAAGTCAATATTTTTCGGTAAAATCCACACATAAATATTGTTTTGAATGGACTTACGCTCGCTCGTAAAAGGTGTGAAGCCAATAAACAAATATTCAATAAAAATTTTCCAAACCAGCGGAAAAATTCGAAAAAAGGCCTACATCTTCGATTTCATTCTTTGCTCGAGCGCCTGATTTCACCACTATTACTATTACCTATCAAAAACCGCAGCGCTCACCTTTCCTCCTTTCTGTATTACAACCCCCCCCCCAAAACCCCCCCCAAAAAACAAAAAAACACAGAAAAACCCACCCCAAATATTCTCGTTTGAGCTGACTTTGTCGGTTTAACCAACGCACTCAACCATCTTCAATCCTCATTGTTGCACAATAGTTTATTGAGAGAAGCAACAATAACTTGCTTGCTAAGCGAAAACGTTTCCTCTCTAGGGAGGTATTATCATTATTTATCAGTTATTGAGCCATTCGTACTTAATAGCGTACCAGCGTGTATGGTGTAGCGACTAGGCGTTTCACTGTCTCACGCAGAATACCTGACTTCGATTCCCGTTTGTTTTTCATCTAGAATCTCAGTCTTTCTGCTGAGACGTTACTCCCTTTTAGCCCAGGTTGGCCCTGACAGGTTACGTCGAAGCCCGCCTCTTAAACGATCTAAATTGTATTGAAGGGGTGTACAACACTTATTTGGAACAAAAGAACTGAAAATTGTATAATTTCTTGTATTAATATCATGTCGAGAATTTTAAGCATAGTTAGATAGTATTGTCACGATAATACCACCCCCCCCCCAAATTTTTTTTTTAAACAGAAAATAAGACAAAAATAAAAATAAAATAAAATAAAATAAAATAACATAATATAAAATAAAACAAAATAAATAAATAAATGTATTTGCAATCCGCTAGATCTAAAGAAGTCTGACAGTCTACAGTGTTAATTTTTGTTTTTGTAAGAACTTTTATAATGCTATCATAACAAGCGAAAGTCTATGTTTGCTCATTTAGGTGGGAACACTAAAATTCAAATTTACTCTGCACTTTGGCTCAGCAGCAGTTTGAACAAACTTAGAGTGATGTTTAAGACAGTTTAAAACGAACTCTCTAAGTTATAAAGAAGTGAAACCAACTCATATATCAAATACGACCTTGTAATAAATAGCCAACACTGCGCCACATTCACCACTTAATTAATTAATCATAACACGCACTTCCTTCCTACTAGAAGGGTTTTCCGAGCTCAGAGCAAAGATGGGAAGTAATTACATGTTTGGGCGTGCACAGATTTGCTAGAAGTTGAGTACCGTACCGAATCTGAACCTGTGTAGAAATTCAGTCTTCATAATGGTGGCGGCGAACAAGATGAACAGCACAAACGCTTCCATTGTGTTTGTTGCCTGCGTGGCCTTCCGGGATTCTGAGGACTCGCTGAGCCAAAAGGACAGGGAAGACATCGAGGACATGTGTGATCTAAGTCTGCTGTTGGAGGAAATCTTGATCTGGGTATCTGTCAGTCTCGGCTTGCCAGGGAACTTGGTCGCTGCCGTCACGATTCTCTCCCTTGAACTGACGCCCGTGACATTCTCTTTGGCACTGCTGTCTGTCGGGGATTTTATTGCTCTTGTACTTAAGGTAAGTAACAACATTTTGTTGTTGGTTATTGTAAGAGTTTTACGGCCCTCGCAACACAGAGAGGTCTTATAAAGGCCGAAGATTAGAGGTATTATTCGAAGGCAAAGGGCCCTACGAAGTAAGAAAAGGGTCACATACTTTTAAAGCCCCCCCCCCCCAACTGAATACGTGTTTCCCTGAGGGCTATAACTTCACAGTAATCAACACAGTTTTACGCTATTATTTTGTATTTAAGAAACAAAAGGGTCTTTATTAAAGGAGTTAGGCTCATGCTTCTTTCCAAGATAAGATCAACTTTATTGATCAACGAGGAACATTTTGGGTGACCATGTTATTAGAATATCATTGTATGAAGGTTCAGCATCAACACGTGAATGCACTTTTTACATTCATGCACAAAGCAACAAATGCAAAGATGCCCAACTCACTTACAAATGCGCCCTCAAACATACAGAGTGGAGATAAGATCGAACACCTAGCCTTCTCGAAAAAGGGTGAAAAAAAGTCTGAGGTCCCGTGTGCACGTTGCGCACGTTTAGGATCCATTGGTTGTCCTAAAATCGATAACGGTAGGCTTCAGCCGCCACCTGGGCATAATTCAAAATTCCTACCACACTGAAAATGCTTAATGTGTCCCGCCCACTCATTTGACCTCACGCAATTGCGAGCGCCGTATAACTCTTACTAAAACAAACATTTCGCATCTGACAGTTGTCGTAAACTCGATGTGACAAACATTGGCTTGGGAACACTCTCAGATAGAAATCAGAAGGATTATAACGTGAATTTATTAAATACTTGTACCATACTGTGCAAAAACAGTATTATATTATTGCAACTGACATGAGATACTATGTTTTAATTAATGTTTTTTTTGGGTTTTTTTTCGAAATATCTGTGACACAGAGGTGTTTTGCTAAGGTATGATGTGAATTTTGTCATCAAGTATGTAACATTATGTAAAAGGCGAGATCTTTCTCTGATAGTACAAACCCAAATAGGTGAGCAGCCTTGAAAACTCTCAAAACAATCCAAGTTGTAACAACACACCTTTGAGGATTTGAACCAAGGTCACACATACCATAGCTCAGTAGGGTGCAAACTGAGCTAAAAGTGTACCAAGTGGTAATTCTGTCGCCTTGAAAAAAAGACAAAAAGCAGAAGTCGTTGCCGAAATCTACTTACTGTTCGGAATCATTTTCTCTGAAGGTTTTTTTCCTGTTGCGCTTTTTTTTCCTCTGGAAATTAACATTTGTTGCTTTAAAAACACATTGCATAAAATTACAGCAGACATCAGCTTCGGATTCTTAAAACGGCCTGGTTCAAATTTCCATTAAATATTAACATAGTTTTTTTGGGTTATTCTTGCCCATTGTTTCATTATGTTAGTTCGTTTGACTTTGATTTTTCTTCAATTCATAAACAACAGCAACAACAACAACAACAACAACAACAATAACAACAGCAACAACAACATAACAACAAAAACAGCAACAACAATAACAACATCACCAACAACAACAACAACAAAACTATGATATACATTAGTTTAACTGATCCTCTGTACCTTCATTCCCATGTTCAGGTCCTAACCAAAGTCTTCAAGGACTACGCCGTGATCACTACAGAGGACGTCAGCCACGACTGGTTCTACAATCTACATCATTATGCCGGAGTCTACGCCAACTGGACGCTCGTCCTCATCTGCCTGGGGCGACTTGCAGATGTCCTGGATCCTTTCAGAAAAACTTTCAAAATCACGCTTCGACTCTCGTACGTCACTGCCCTCGTTCTATGGCTGGTCGTTATTATAATTTATGCAACTGTGTGCCAAGTAGAGAGCTACGGAAACAGGGCATGGGTTATCGTGTTCTCGACCTGCTACTGTTTCATTCCACTCCCAATAGTCCTCGTCTCTTCCGTCGTCTTTGCAATTGAGCTGAAAAGAGGACAAAAGCGCCGGAATATCATGTCTGACGCACATGTCAGACAGCTTGCTAGTCAGGACAATGCGATGACGGCCCTTATGCTGGCAGACTCCTTCGCCTTCGCAGTGCTCATCAGCCCTTTGTGTGTGGTCATGCTGGTGCATGTGGCGTCCAGCTATACCTGGGTGTCTCCTCACCACACGGCCTCGGCCAGTTTCTTCATGGCGGCTCAGGTGTCCGCGGGCCTGTCCCAGCTATCTCACGGCGTCGATGTCTACCTGTATTTTGTCAGTGTCAAACGGTTTCGTTTGCAGTTGCGCAAGATTCTTCCTTGCAAGATGTTTGAAGTCAAGCTAAATACATAAACCTTTCGACCATTTTTATTCATTTAATTATTTAAAAAAAATTAAGTCTAAGATATTTTCTAGCCGAGATACTTTGGTAAAATACCTTCATATCCATTAAACCTTTTGACTATACACAGTTTATTATTTCTTTTTAAATATTAAGTCTAAGGTCTTTTCTCTTCCCTGACGATTGGTAAAAAATATTTTTGTCCCTTAAACTTTACCATAAAAAAAAAAAATACAGTTTTATAACGAGTGGACTTCTTCTTGTTTCGGGTTTCAGAATCGTCCTGGGTTTTTTTTGCTTTAAATATGGCACACAAAAAACGCTATGACGGCCCTTATGTTGGCAGACTCCTTCGCCTTCGCAGTGCTCATCAGCCCTTTGTGTGTGGTCATGCTGGTGCATGTGGCGTCCAGCCATACTTTACTTTACTTTTCCGATCCAGCGGCCATTTGGGTTCTAGTCCTTCGGTCTGGACGTCCAGCTATACCTGGGTGTCTCCTCACCACACGGCCCCGGCCAGTTTCTTCAAGGCAGCTCAGGTGTCCGCGGGCCTGTCCCAGCTGTCTCACGGGGTCGATGTCTAATTGTATTTTGTCAGTGTCAAACGGCTTCGTTTGCAGTTGGGCAAGATTCTTCCATGCAAGATGTCTGAACTGAAGCAAAAAGCGTAGACCATTTGACCATAAATTGGCATTCTTTATATACTAAAGATTATTAATTCTTGATTGAAATATCAATTCTTTTTAGCGATTAAGTTCCAGGTCTTTTGTAGCTGTAAGACTTTGTTAAAATATTTTCTTGTCACTTAAACTTTAAAACATGAAGTTATAAATGGACTACATCTCCTTTCGGCTTCAGAATCGTTCTTTTTTATGTTTTTATTTTTGCTTTTGTTGTTGTTGTTGCTTAAAACATGACATACAGTCACCATTCATTGCATTGGAAAAAAAGAACTTAAAAAATATCTTCACTATTTTGAGAAAATCAGACTCCAGGGATCACAGACTGGTAGATATCAAACGTTTCCTGACTAGCAGTGTCTGTGGTTTGTTTGGTTTCGAAAGTGTTTTACGGAGCTCTCATATGAGCACGCGGAACAAACACATTAACCATTTTCAGTATGGTAGGAATATTGAACTTTGACTGAGTGGCGGCTGATGCCTACTCTTATCGATTTCAGGTTTCGAACACTTGCACCTATTGAATGAGAGGCGAACACTGTAACCTCCAGACCACGAGAGCCCCAATGTCTGTGGTGCAGCTTCAGGTGTCAAAAACATTTTTCTCGATGAAAATAGTGTCCCTCTCTACACAGACCACTGGATAAGGATTTTGTAGAATAATATAAAGAGTTGACGTCACACACCTAGTTTTTTTATTCTTGGACGTCAAGAATAATATGGATACTCTTAGGGTGTACTCTGTAAGTTAGAATGCGATTTTATAAACTATTTGCCAGTTACAACTTGTTGTTTTTTTCTTCATTCATTTTGTATCTAGATCTAGAAGATTGTAGGGAACAGTGGCATGGAAATTCGAGATCGGATTAGTCTGACAACAACAGGAGAAGCACCAACTGTACAGGAGAGAAGTTATATTTCTAGTGAATCTGAGCTGTCCTCTGAAAGTATTGACACCAACATGGAGACGCCGTTTTAACCTAGTTGCCCCCGGTTGATATCTTCCATTTATTTGGTAAATTAGTAGTCCCTTCCCTCACCAATCGTATATTCTTCTCAAGACAAGGGGGGGGGGGGAGGGTGAATATGATTGAATTAAAAGCAATTGCAGCAAAGTTATACAAGAAGAGCTACGAATATCAAAACTCCCCACCCCTAATCAAGATTACTGTTCCGAAACTCACAAATTCTTGTTGTTATTATTGCGATTGCAGTTGCTGTTGTTGTTGTTGCTGCTGCTGTTGCCGCTGCTGCTGCGGCGGCGGCTGCTGCTGCTGCTGCTATTGTTGTTGTTATTCTTGTTGATGCTGCTGCTGTTGTTGTTGTTGTTGTTGATGATGTTGCTGCTGCTATTGATGATAATGATGATGAGACTTTTGTTGTCGTTGTTGTTGCTGTTATTGTAGGTATCATCCTTGTTATTTCTATTATTGTATGACAAATATATATGCACAGCTGTCAGTGGTTATGATCACAGAGATGTCCTGTAATTATGTTAATGGCTCATCACACGGATTATGACCGCAATGTAGCAGTGGACTGTGGATGGCGACGATCTATCCTGATAAGGTCGATAAAGCAAATATAGGTTTATAATAGCCGTTAGCTCGTGGAGTACAGACGTAATTGTCGTTTGGGAAACATCAAAGGGTAAGTCTGGATTTGTTTATCTCACTTTTGACATTCCTAGTACCCCCCCCCCCCACCACCAATCCACCCCCCCACAAACCACCGCCAATTTGATCTTCGTACGTTTTTTTTCATTCTTCACCTCTAGAAACAGTTCCGTGAATGAAGGACCACTATCCAACCTTTGGGATTTTCCTTAACCAGATGACCTAACGCTTGTTATCACTTTGACTCCGTGCAGATTCCACTCTATGGCATGAACTGATCGAGATTACAATGTACATGATTTCTATCTATACCTGTGATTATGGACGGAGTGAAATAAATTAACTCCGAATTTTGGAAGTACATCGTAAAAAGACAGAGATATCTCCATGATGAGTGAGCACAGCATATTAAACTCTGCACAGGACAATGGATGAGGACTACGAAAACTGTGAGTGCCGTTCACAACAAATGAAATCAGGGTAGACCGACAAGCCCATTCCGAGGGAGAATGGAAGAGGACATCAGGGTATGACAGAAAATAAGTGGCTTTCTGTTGTCTTATCGGTACTTTGTGCGCTGTGTGATACCCGTTGGAACAACATACCATGAATGACTCCAACTCATCGATTGTGTTTGTAGCCTGTGTGGCATTCCGTGGCTCTGAGGACTTGCTGAGTCCAGAGGGCAGAAAAGATATCGAGGACACATGCGCATTGGCCCTGCTGTTAGAGGAAATCTTCTTCTGGGTTTCAGTTGTTCTTGGTGTGCCCGGGAACCTGGTCGCTGCCGTCACGATTCTCTCCCTTAAACTGACCCCTGCAACATTCTATCTGGTCCTGTTAGCATTTGGAGACTTCATTTCTCTGGTGTTCACGGTACGTTCTGAATACAGCATTTTGTTGTTGTTCGTGTCCACCCTTGGTTAATCTTGCGTATTTTTAGTTGTTCACCTCTAGGAGAAGAATATTGTTATAAGCAAACAAAGCAGGGTTGAGTAAAAACAGAATTATAAACAAACCTCAGGGTTGACACAGAAATCAGGTAATCTGTACATACGTTGCAGTCTTGTTTGTGCAAGTAAAGAGAAGTACATCAATAAAAATACATGTAATTGAGTGGTGGGAAAAAGTAAGACAGACAGACAGACGGACAAAAATAACAGAGGGAAAGCAAAGACGAATGACCTTCCAGCGGCCATCCACAACTATTTGCACTCAATTAGGTTTGCTTTTATTTATCCTGTTAAAGAATTACTTGATTATAATATTAGAAATTAATAAGCCACGAGCCTATAATAAACCTCATCAACATAGCCACTTTCCCGAGAAGAAGAGGAAAGCACACGTTTGTGGAATATTAAAATATGCATCAGCATTTTTCTTTCAACTGCTTCGAGTAGTGATGTTCTGTATCGTCACACTAAAAATTACAAAAGGGGGCTCTCGCGGTCTAGAGTATAAGGTGTTCACCTCCCATTCAATATTTCCCGGCTTCGAATCCGTATAGCGACGAAACATTTTCTTCTCCTTTCATATCCTTTCCTGCTCTTTGACAATGTTATGTTATCTGCTTTTGTCTCTATTTTCTGCCCCCTACCCTCCCTCCCTCACCTACTTTGCCCCCTCCTCTGGGCTCCTGACTCTTTCTACAGCCTTTCTACTGCTACTACTTGGCTCCTTCTTACTGCTGTCTTTCAGCCACACCCCTGATCTTTTGGTAGGAAAGATCTACACCTAGCCTTCTCGGATGATGGCGAAAAATGTCGGAGGTTACGAGCGCAAGTTGCGCACTTTCAAGATCCCTTGGTGTTCCAAAATCGATAAAAGTAGGTTTCGTCCGCCACCTGGGCAAAAATTCTAAATTTCCAACCAACTAAAAATGTTAAATGTGTCCCGCGCGCTCATATGGCCTTATGCAGTTGTGAGCGCCGTAAAACACTTACCAAAAAAATAAGTTACAAAGAGAATGAAGAAGATCAAATGTGTCGTATTCTCTAGGCTATGCGTATCTTGCGGTGTTATTGTCATATCTGGGAGTATATCAAAAGTATTCACAATATTCAATGTGTTCATTTATCGGAAGCTTTCTTTAATTATTATGTAGCTGACTTTCATTATGTTTCCCTGTGTATTTCTCTCTGTCTTTCTGCACCAGCCTTGTAGCAATGACTTCCACTCTGTCCTTTCTGTCATTTTCTGTGTCCAGGTTGTTCACGTCCTCTCTCTGATGTCATCTTGCTAACCTCTTCCTGGGCTTCCTCTTGATCGTTCTCCTGTTCTTGGCCTCTATTCAGTGCCTGTTACCCTTCATTCTACCGACATGACCAGCCCAGCCCATGCCCACTTTTGTTGTGAACATATTCAGTGTGCCCGTCCTATAGCAGCTTTATTTCTTTAAATAATCTGATTGAATTCCATTTTTTCCCGTGTTGAAACGTCTTATATTTAATAATACCTAGCATTCGTATGGCGCAAATTACAGCTCAAGAGCAAGCTCTATGCGTTTTACAATCTAATATTATTACCCCAGCAGATCTGATAGCATTCTTAAACAATCTCAACTCCCCGTGAAACATACAGTTCAAGCTGCCTCATTTAAAACAGATGTGCCTATCACTTTCTCAGATCTTGACCAAATTCTTCAAAGACTACTCCGTGATCACTACAGAGGACGTGAGCCACGACTGGTTCTACAACTTGCACCACTACGCCGGGACCTACGCCAACTGGACGCTCGTCTTGATTTGCCTGGAGCGGCTGGCAATCATTCTTGACCCATTTAGAAAAACCGTCAACCTCACTTTACGCCACGCCTACATGACAGCAGCAGTTCTGTGCGTGGCTCTGACCGGTGCGTATGTGCTGGTTTCGGAAATGGAGAGCTATGGTAGCAAGACTTGGATCATCGTATACACGACGTGCTACAACTTTATCCCGCTGCCGGTCGTCTTCATCACCTCTGGCGTCATAGCGATTGAGCTGAGGAGAGGGTTGAAGCGCAGAGGTTTTATGTCTGAAATACAGGTGATTTTATTGTTGTTTGTCTTAAGTTAAAATCATCAAGAGTGTAGTATAATGTTTTACACAGCCATCAACACCACTATTTAGATCAGTGAGGAGACGGACAGACTGCTTCGATACAGTTTATCAGAGCAATCCGGACTCTTTAATTACAGCGTCCCAGCAGACACACATAAATATACTCGATTAAAACAATAACAACAACAACAACAACAAGAACAACAGCAACAACAACATAACAAACAAAAGCATGTGTCCAGAGGGGAACTGAACGCATTTCTACTGCATGCAACGTCGAAGAGTCTAACCGTTGCACCACGTACGCTGATACAATCTTTTCGAGTCGTCAGAAACTTAAAAGATTTTGAAAGTCTATAGTCAATACATTGATACCGTATGTAGGCCTATCAAATGTAAAACTAGTCTCAGGTATCCTTCTAATGACGCAATTATCAGGTAAGGGAATTATTACAAATGAGTTAAAGAAAGAAACCTATTGATTTAGGATCAACGCAACGTTTTCTGCTTGATGAAAAAAAAAACCGGTCACAGTAAAATACAAAGAAAGTGCATGCACGACAAGAATAGGTTAGTGTTGAAAATAATTTTGAAATGGACATCATTCTACCAAGTATGGTAGCCATCTGTTCTTTTGGTACATTTTAGTCATGACTATTACCACAGTTCAAGTTGTTTCGGCCTTTTTGAGTGGATTTGCCTAATACTATTATTATAACATTTAAGAAAGCTTCGTTAACACTTCTTGCTGAAACATCGAAACGTCAGATCTTTTTAAACCATTACAACACCCCCCCCCCAAAAAAAAAGACAAAAAACAACAACAAACAAACAACCAGACAAGAAAACAACCAGACAAGCAAACAAACAAGCAAACAAACAAACAAGCAAACAGACAAACAAAAACAAGCAAGACAGAACCCCTACCCCCCAAAACCCCCCCACAACAAATACCCCCCCCCCTACTCCACACAAAGGACCACTTCTCACATATCCCCCCCCCCCTCTTTGCTAACTGTCTCTATTATAAAGACAAATTTCAAGATGCCCACCTGTCCTAGACAAACACTTTTCTATTGATATTGAGTAACCGTCTTGGACAATTTCGACTGTAGACTATTATTTTAAAAATGCCATTTTGATTTTACTTACTTTTTCATCATCTGTTGCCGTTAAGCGTCGAGGGGAGATGCAGTTTTCTATGCAGGCCTGCTCCACAGCTCTTTCAAGAGGGATATATATATATTATGAATTGTGATTTCTCAGAGTTTCATTTACTTCCTCAATCCATTTTTTTGGGGTGGTCTACCTCTTTCTTTATAGCCTGAGTACTTGGTGTTATGGGGTCTTGAGACTGGCTGACTAGGTGACATTCGTAACAGGTGGCCAAGCCATTTTATTCTCTATTTTTCTATGGAATGCAAGCAGGACTCAGAGCCAATAGTCGCTCTCACTTCTTCATTAAAGCTGTCAAATTGTTCTCGTATTTCAAAATACAGCTGAAATTGTCTAAGATGGCCTCCAATTGTCGAGGAGAGAAGTGGAGGTCGTATACAGTGTCTTTATGATTTAAAAAACGTAAGGGGGCTGGGGGGGGGAGGGGTATACGAAGTGGCCGTTTGTAGAGGTGATTGCTTTATACAGGGTGGCCGTTAGAGCAGGCTCGACTATACTCTCAATCCATAAGTGAACCTTGTATAACGTATGAACAGAGCTTAAAAGAATATCTGATGAAAATTAGATCTATGCCAATACAACGATGCTCGTATGATACTCAATAAAAGCGACTGTGCTCTCCATTTATAAGTGAACCTTTAAACACGTGTGAACAGAGCTTAAAAGAATATCTCACGAAAACTATGCTAATACAACGATGCTAGTATGATACTCAATAAAAGCGACTGTGCTCTCCATCTATAAGTGAACCTTTTAAAACGTGTGAACATAGCTTAAAAGAATATCTGACGAAAAGTATGCTAATACAACGATGCTCGTATGATACTCAATAAAAAGCGGCTGTACTCTCAAGAATATAGCGTAAAGCGCATAGAACCTGCTTTTGAGCGGTGATATGCGCTATACAAATGCTGTTTATTACTATTTATTATTACTCTCAATCCTCAGGTGAGACAGATAGCGAGGCAGGACAACGCGATGACCGTCATTATGTTGACAGCGTCGTTCGCCTTCGCAGTGCTGACCACGCCCCTGTGCATAGTCATGCTCTTGTTCCTTATCCAGAGCTACACCTGGCTCTCCCCTCACCACTTCCCGTCCGCCGATTTCTTCCTGGCTCTCCGAGTGTCCATCGGCCTGTCCCAGCTGACCCACGGCGTCAACGTGTACCTCTATTTTGTCAGTGTCAAGAGGTTCCGGGAACAGTTTGTCTACTTGTTCTCCTGTAAAACAATTCTCAAGCCCACATCTCAGGTCTTTTCCACACAGACTTAGAGAGAGTCCAGACATCCTTTTTATGTTGATGAAATAGACGCTTTGTTAATCCTATGAGTCGGTATTATGAAGAAAAAATGACTTAAGAATAATTTGAAAGTAGATATTCAAAACATAGCTAAGAAATCGAAGTCAGGTAATTTTTGAAAATAATGGCATACTAATAGCGAGTGAGTTGACTGTTACGTTGACATTCAAAACATAACTAACGAAACAAAGTTATGCCACAAAATTATGTGTGGGTGCAGTGCCCTATTATTTAAAAATAAAAACAAGGCTTGACAGTGCTTGCTTTTACCTTGTAGCTCTCAAACTGCTCTCCAGTTACAAAACGCTCAGGCCTACATCTCGGATCTTTTTCTCACAGACGTAAAGAGAATCTAGTGGTTCTTCCTTGTACGTTGAAATAAATAAATAAAATGTGGTTCTTATAGAGACAGGATTATTTTACTACCTCATAATTGTATACATATGCAGGACAATTAACGATTCAGACTCTACCACGACATTGCTCGTGTGCGTGATGCTGTGAGCCCCGTTGTTGTATTTGGCTAGACGTGCCTAGCGTTAGGATACACTCCAGAAACCCCCGTGTTTAAAAACAAAAACAAAACAATTTTATATTAGGTAGAATTAAAGAATAAAAAGAAAAACAAACAAACAAATAAAAATATCAACAACAACAAAAACACGTTAAAAAACGAACAAACAAGCAAAACCCCATTAAAAAACACACACAACCATCCTCAATCTCCCAGGTATTCCAGTTCATGCATCGTCCCGGTGAAGCATAAAAACAGGGATCATTTCATTATTTTGCCTTCTATTAAGCATTTCCTGTGAATAAATGGATTGGTCTAGTGGGTGGGGAAAAGCAATCTCATCAACCTAGGGTTCATTTTAAAAAATGTAGGTGATTTTCCTCCCCCATCGACACAGTTTAGATCATTTAGGAGCCACAGTTTGACCCTGCCTGTCGGTCGTCAAGGCCAACCTGGGCTGAGAGGCAAGCAACGTCCTAGCAAATACGCGATAGAAATTCTCCCCACGGGGGAATCGAACCATGACCTGCTGCGTGCGACGACGAAACGCCTAAGCGCTGTTCCAAAGAGGCCGGTATCTAGCGAATCTCAAATGACAATATAAACAAAAGAAAAAGAAATATTTGTCTATTCCCACAAATAATCCCAGTGGATTGCAGCATTGAAATTATATTCTTTCATTCTTTCTTTCTTCGTCTTGAATTTATTTCAAAATATCACTAAGTGCTAAATGTTCAGTCTCTTTAAACCCGTGGAATATACATGCTTTCATTCCGCCTTCATCTTTCATTCTTCTGTTTATTTGTTTGAAATAAAGAAGTCTTACTTTGTTAGTTCTAGAGTTATTTCACTGATATACCCAAGTTACATTTCAATTTTGATCCACTTATTCTTCTTGATTTTAATACAGGTGCGAGCTGATATGTATGATTGATCATTGAAGCTCTGGGGTTGTTTTGATCCTCTGAACACAGGTATAATTTTTCTAAACAGCACATTTGTGAACCTTTTATATCATTATGTCAAGACCAAATGTACCTCACGTTTGCTTTCTACAGGAAATACCAAAAAAGTGCCAGAAAAAAAAAATGTGGCAACTGATTTGGCCCCACAAATCATAAACGATTATCTTTACAGATCTAATCTGACAGCCCTGTTTCTGTTTTCGCGAGAGATGACATCATAAAATATGTAGCCAACGTCTAAAATAGGGTTGAAACCTTCATACAAAGAAACGAGAAAGAAACAGGGGTCTGACCACCTGCAGCTGAAAGTCTGGCACTAAAAATAAAATATCGTCTTTTGGTATATAGACATCGACCAAAAGGAAGCAGTGACTTTTCCATAAAAAAGAAAACACCAAAAAAAAACCCCAAAACAAACAACAACAACCCCACAGTACTGAGATACACGTTTAAAAAAATTAGTTAACAATCAAAGGAAAAATAAAAATTGCTTCGAAATATATTTTGCCTAAAAAAATGCAATGTACTCTTTCCCCTATTTCTTCAAACTAAAGCATGGAGAGATCAATATGGTCCAAAAACCTTCCACTTACTGAACGCTCACCCTTCCAAGATTTATCTCCGGCAGATGCAGACCGAACCTATCAGATTTGAATAAAAATTATGTGGGTTTCTTTTAACAAATAAAATTGAGTACGCCTCATTTTCCCATGCAATCGTGAGGATTGGCGTCCATTACCTCTGGGTTTGAGTTTGATTGCATGCCGACACTTAAAAACAATAGACACGAAAAGTCTTTTCATGAAGAGGGAAGCTGCGATAGACCGACGACTAAAGTAGAACAATAATACAACAACAGAAACAACAACAACAACAAAAAACCCAACAACATACAACAATAAAAAACAACAACAATCGGAAGAACAAGTAAACGCCAACAAGCATCTGTAATAACAATAACAATAACAATAAAATTAGATCTAACGTTAATGACGATATTAATGACGAAGGTCATAATAAAACTTCTACTACTACTACTACTACTACTACTACTACTACTACTACTACTACTACTACTGCTACTACTACTACGACTACTACGACTACGACTACTACTACTACTACTATTCTACCAGCAGCAACTGTAATAAATAAGAATAAGTATGATATAGAGAAGAAACAAAAGTGCAGCAACAACACCAATGGCGACGACGACAATGACGACAACAACGATTATAACAAAGACAACATTAAAAACCAACAGCAACAAAGACGGCAATACTTGCAGTAACAGCGATGAAAACAATCAAACACGTTTCCAACAAAAAATATCATGACAAGAAGGATAACGAGGGGGAAAAAAGCTAAAAATGAGAACTGTAAAAGAGTCGAGGTTTGGAGAAAAGATTAATCAAAGTAATGTGAAGTAACTGAAAAAGTTACATGCATAAAACTTTGTTTTACGTACACGCATGTCGATTAATTTTTAAGATGTGATGTCTTTTTCGATGTTATGCGTATAGAGCATTAAAAAAAAAAAGAAAATGGAAATGCGCAGTATAAATGCTATTTACTATTATCAAGTTTTACCCTCTAATCGACACAGTTTAGATCAATTAAGAGACGGTTGCATTTACCCCGTTGTTGGGAAAATAAATTATCTCCACTTGAGAATCGAAAGCACGTCTTTTGCGTGCGCTCCTAACCTGCTCCCCACAGGCCACAGTAATGTAAGTGATCCCATGAACAATAACATTGTCAACATTATAAACAACAACAATAGCAACAACAACAACAACAGCAGCAGCACAAAAACAACAACAAAAACCAATAACAACGGTGAAGTAATAATTTCACTCCGACAATGCGTGCGCGTTTGTAATCCTTGTTTGCCACTTTTTGTTTCAGGATACCTTGAATAACGTGCAATTCAAAGGAAAAAAAAAAAAAGCACGTAAAGATTCAAAACGCAGTAAAACGTAATATACACCGTCGTTTAGGCATTCGCTTGCGTAAAATCCGACGTAATCGTTAGGACGTGGAGAAGAAACGTCTCCGGTTCCACTAGTAAATCAGAGGAAAAACTGCTTTTCCGTCTGCCTTCTCGAAACTTCATTTCTCCTGAGCACGGCAGTCGCAGATAAAACACCCTGCTTTGCATGTTTCTGCAGGAAAATAACCGTAGGGTAAATTTCGTAGGACGGCCGTAAAAAGAAATTAAAGTGCCTGCTTGTCTACCCCTGTCTCTTAGCCCGTGTATGTCTTTTAGATTGTTATTCAGAGATTAAAAAAAACACATGAAAGGTTGTTATTATATAGCTCTCAGAATGAATCTGTGTATTCTTTCAGTTACTCAGTAACGTAACCCTTCTCCCCTCCAAAATCCTCTGATATTAACCTCCACACGCACCCTCTTGTTTGTTAATGTGATCTTAGAATATTAACATTTTAAAAAGTGGTTCCTGGTTTTATTTTGCTAACCAGACTTATTTCAGCCCGATACACGTTAACCAAAATGTAAATATAAAGGCACTCACGCACACGCAAACACACACACACACACACACACACA